CTAGCTTCTATTCCCCTAGTTCTAGCTTGTATGCCTCTAGTTCTAGCTTCTATCTTGCTAGTTCTAAACCTAACAAGGGTTTTTTACATGCACACTTGCTAGTTCGTTATTCTATGTTAGTTCTAGCTTCTATTCCCCTAGTTCTAGCTTGTATACCCCCAGTTCTAGATTCTATCTTGCTTGTTCTAAATCCAACAAGGGTTTTTTACATGCACACTTGCTAGTTCTTTATTCTACGTTAGTTCTAGCTTCTATTCCCCTAGTTCTAGCTTGTATACCCCAAGTTCTAGCTTCTATCTTTGCTAGTTATAAACCCAATATGGGTTTTTTATATGCACACTTGCTAGTTCTTTATTCTACGTTAGTTCTAGCTTCTATTCCCCTAGTTCTAGCTTGTATACCTCCAGTTCTAGATTCTATCTTGATTGTTCTAAACCCAACAAGGGTTTTTTACATGCACACTTGCTAGTTCTTTATTCTACGTTAGTTCTAGCTTCTATTCCCCTAGTTCTAGCTTGTATACCCCCAGTTCTAGCTTCTATCTTGCTAGTTCTAAACCCAACAAGGGTTTTTTATATGCACACTTGCTAGTTCTTTATTCTATGTTAGTTCTAGCTTCTATTCCCCTAGTTCTAGCTTGTATACCCTCAGTTCTAGCTTCTATTTTGCTAGTTCTAAACCCAACAAGGGTTTTTTACGTGCACACTTGCTAGTTCTTTCTTCTACGTTAGTTCTAGCTTCTATTCCCCTTGTTCTAGCTTGTATACCCCCAGTTCTAGCTTCTATCTTGCTAGTTCTAAACCCAACAATGATTTTTTACGTGCACACTTGCTAGTTCTTTATTCTACGTTAGTTCTAGCTTCTATTTACCTAGTTCTAGCTTGTATACCCTCAGTTCTAGCTTCTATCTTGCTAGTTCTAAACCCAACAAGGGTTTTCTAGTTCTAGCTTGTATACCCTCAGTTCTAGCTTCTATCTTGCTAGTTCTAAACCCAACAAGGGTTTTTTACATGCACACTTGCTAGTTCTTTATTCTACGTTAGTTCTAGCTTCTATTCCCCTAGTTCTAACTTGTATATCCCCAGTTCTAGCTTCTATCTTTTTAGTTCTAAACCCAACAAGGGTTTTTTACATGCACACTTGCTAGTTCTTTATTCTACGTTAGTTCTAGCTTCTATTCCCCTAGTTCTAGCTTATATACCCCCAGTTCTAGCTTCTATCTTGCTAGTTCTAAACCCAATAAGGGTTTTTTACATGCACATTTGCTAGTTCTTTCTTCCACGTTAGTTCTAGCTTCTATTCCCCTAGTTCTAGCTTGTATACCTCCAGTTCTAGTTTCTATCTTGCTTGTTCTAAACCCAACAAGGGTTTTTTACATGCACACTTGCTAGTTCTTTATTTTACGTTAGTTCTAGTTTCTATTCCCCTAGTTCTAGCTTGTATACCCCAAGTTCTAGCTTCTATCTTGCTAGTTCTAAACCCAACAAGGGTTTTTTACATGCACACTTGTTAGTTCTTTATTCTACGTTAGTTCTAGCTTCTATTCCCCTAGTTCTAGCTTGTATACCCCAAGTTCTAGCTTCTATCTTGCTAGTTCTAAACCCAACAAGGGTTTTTTACATGCACACTTGTTAGTTCTTTATTCTACGTTAGTTCTAGCTTCTATTCCCCTAGTTCTAGCTTGTATACCCCTAGTTCTAACTTTTATCTTACTAGTTCTAAACCCAACGAGAGTTTTTTACATGCACATTTGCTAGTTGTTTCTTCTACGTTAGCTCTAGCTTCTATTCCCCTAGTTATAGCTTGTATACCCCCAGTTCTATCTTCTATCTTGCTAGTTCTATCTAGTTCTAGCTCTAATTCATCTTAGTTCTAGGCTCTTGGGAACGGAGAAAAGCTCCTCCTACCTCCGACGGAGTCCACCGAGACACCCCGATGACCCCGGCAATCTCCTCCCACCTTCGGTAAGCCCGGACAGCGGCGAAAATCTCCGAACAGCGAAGAATAAACCCGAACGGCGAGAAATTGCACTGCAGAAAACTATAGTTTTGTGCCGACTTCGCACGCACTTTCTGATCGCCTCCAATCTCCTTTTCCGCCGATTTCTTCTTTGGTGAGTAGCCATACATGTTGCCTATCACCTCCAATTTGTATCACGCTCTAACTTATTCTCTATCTCTGTCGGTAACATCCGAAACATTGCTCGACGGCAGCAGCGAGCAGAAAACAGCAGCGCCGTACCGACTTCGCGCGTGTTTTACGGCCACCTCCGGTCTCCGTTTTCACTACCGTCTGTACCGGTGTGTATCCCTTTATATTGTCTATCACACGGTATCTTCCTTTCATTTGGGTTCATTTTATACCTCTCGTTATATTGCTTCGAATATCGCTCGGCGGCACCGTGGCAATTTCATTCATAGAGTTACATTAATACACATTTTCGTTCTTTCTTAATTACGGCATTTCTCTTCATTCCCCTTCTACTCTACTTCTCCTTACCTTTCTTTTTTCTTTTTTTCTTTTTTTCTTTTCTTCTTCTAGCTACTAGATTAATGCTCTGTGCGTCTCGGCCATGACGATGAGCTTGAGAAAGCTCTTAGTTTTAGAGAGAGGTGAGAGAGAGAGAGAGAGAGAGAGAGAGAGAGAGAGGAGATGAGAGAGAGAGATGATGTGAGTGCTGGGTCAGAGAGATTGAGGAAAGAGGATAAGAGAGAGAGGAGATGAGAGAGAGAGATGATGTGAGTGCTGAGTCAGAGAGATTGAGGAGAGAGGATAAGGATAGTTTGGGAATTTTAGCTTCGCTGGCATATGATAATTGATAAAAAGGGGCTGCAGTACAAAGTGTCACACTTCAAGGGGCTGATCCACATAGGAAAAATTATGAGGAGCCTTGTCACATGAAGTTTCTGCTTTTTAGGGCCTGGACACATTTTTCCCAAAATTTAAATCTTGTGGGGAAAAAAAGGCAAGGGTGAATCATAATCTCAACCTCTCTAGAGAGGTGAAGAGTTGCAAATATTATGCTTAGGCATTGTAGGCTGTCTAAAAATCACAATAGATAGCTGATCCCCATCAAATACCGATGATGGAAGTTACAATCTGACGACTTCCAGAAGGTTACAATTTGAAGACTTTCACGTAGATCGCTAAAGGTTACAATCTGACGACCTTCACGACAACTGATGGAAGCTCTAATCAAACAGCCTTTATAATCAACATCGGGAGTTACAATCTGACGACTCTCACATATCAGAGAGCTAAAGCAAAGATTACAAAATGACGATCTTTGCAACGCTTCGACAGAAAGAGACAACAAATCGACGGTCTCTTCAAATCAAGCTGCGGAAGTCCTCCCCGCACACCAGCATCAAGATGCGCCGCGTTCATAGCCACGAACGCAGCTTAAATGCAGCTCCAAAAGTTACAAACGCAGCTCCAAAAGTTGCAAACGCAGCTCATGTTCGGCCGCAAACGCAGCTCCAAAAGCTGCAAACGCAGTTCATGTTCGGCCGCCAACGCAGCTTCCAAATCGCTGTAAACGCAGCCTTCAAACGCTGTAAACGCAGGTCACATCCAGCTCCAAACGCAGCTTAGATCCGCTACCAAACGCAGCTCTTAAATCGTACAAACGCAGCTTCCAAATTGCTGTAAACGCAGCTCAGATCCGCTGCCAAACGCAGCTCTTAAATCGCTGCAAATGAGCTTCCAAACGCTGCGTCCGAGCTTCCAGATGCTGCGTTCAAGCTTTTAGGCATTGCGTTTGGACACAGAATTCATGCCAGAACGCGGGCCTGCGTTTGACTCGTTCAAACACGAGCTAAACGGTTCCAAAACCGTTTCCCACGATCTGAGGGGATCACAACTCCACTCAGGAGTGATTTAAGGGGCGGTTACATCCCATTAGCCCCACTTAGGAGCGAATTAAGGAGGTGGTTACACCCCTTAATCCCCTATAAATAACTGAAAATCAATTCAGTTCAGGGGCGGTTTGTTGGAACTTCTTGGCTAGTCAACAGGATCCTTAGAGCATTTCTGGAGCTTTGGAGATCGGCAGCAAGATCTTCTTCATCCTTGGCTTATAACCGACTTTCGGTTAAATCAACTCTTTCATAGAGTTTCAAACTCATTCAGAGTTCTCCACAACGTCAAATCGTGAGGAGAAGACCACGTTCCAGTGAAACAAGACACCAGATCGTCAACGGAGAGCAAACTCGACGCGAGCAATCGAGGGAGGCATCTCATCGCCACCGTGAAGAACCCAGATTTAAACAAAGGGGAGAATCCAGATCATTCTCCTCTCTTTTGTAATCATGAAATCCAATTGTAACTGAGATTAAAGGAATACAAATCAATTTTTCTTTATTTCTTTTACTGCAAAATTTCCCACAAACAGTCATCTCCTACAATTTTCCCGCCACCGGAATAAAAAAGGTACTAGTCTTTTGCAAGATACTAGGTACCCTGCTGATGAGCATATTTGTACTGGGAAAAAAATAAAATAAAAATAAAGTACAATACACCAAATATTCTAGCCAATAAATAGCAAGGCAGTGAACTTTAAAGGGTTATTCTAAAGTTTTTGGAAGTTAAAGATGTATCATTATCAGTAGCCTAGAGTTGAGGGACTCAACTATAAAAATAGACGCGGATTGTCCTGGAAAGGGATTTGTAAAGGACAAAAAGCAACTATCCACTAGTTCTATTGCCATGGATAATACAGAGAAAACAACTCCGATGTTTACTCTGGACGAAATGATATTAAACATAAAGGCTCTGTTTGGTTTGAAGGGAAATAGAAGAAAGGAAAAGAAAGTGCAAAAGAAAGTAATTTTTCTTGCATGCACTCCAAATAAACTTTTCACATATGTCCTAGCTGGGTGGGAAGGTGCGGCGAATGACTATAGGAATGATTGTTTTTCTCCTTTCCTCACTTGATCGGAGTGAAAATGAGAGAGAAGGAGAGAAAATCGCCTCCTTCAAAATTCCCGAAAGAAAGTGCAAAAGAAAGTAATTTTTCTTTGTTTGGTTTGGAAGAAAACAAAAAAGAAAATGAATCTTAAAATCACTGTAGAAAAACACCCATATAGCCAGTTCTTTTCCCCTTTCCTCACTTGATCGGAGTGAAAATGAGAGAGAAGGAGAGAAAATCGCCTCCTTCAAAATTCCCGACTCCATCGCGACTCCATCCTCTCTCTCTCTCTCTCTCTCTCTCTCTCTCTCAAATCTCCTTGAGCTCTCTCTCGTCATTCTCTCGGATCTCTCGCCCTCGACCTCCCTCAGATCTCCTTCTTCCCCGCTGCCGGCATCCTACCGCGCCACCACCGTGGCCGCCGCCTCCTAAAACTCATCGAGGTAACCTTAATCTCTCTGTACCTTTCATCATTTTTTACTTTTTTTAGAAAAATCAGAGGTCTATTTTGATCTAAGAGAGGAAGCCAAGCCATTGTCGAGTTCACCAACACTTGAAAGGTATCAAAATCCGCCCACATGATCTTCAATTAGGTTTTACTTTCCAAGTGTTTGATGAAATGCTCCTTAGACTTTTTTGTGAAATCTTGTAACTTCTGTAGTTTTCAAGTTAAAGTGCAAAATTGGAAGATTATATTGAATTTATGGTATTAGGTTGAGTCTGATTGATTATGATGTTTGATTGGTTATTATATTGTTAATCAATTCCATTTCAATTTGCTCCAAATTTTATTTTTTTTGAGAAACCGGAGTCTCTAGAAGCTAGGTATAATGCTCCAAAACCCTAATATTACTTAATTTTAAGTTCTCAGATTTTACAAATGATACTGTAATATCACAAATTACACATATCATTCTTGAACAAAATTCATACATAAATAGATTATGTATATATAAAAGTAAGCACAGTGCTAGGAGGTAATTTAATTTACACTCAAACTACATGTTTGCATTTTACCACATAGTTCATAAGTTTAAGGTAAAATGACAAAAAAATTTACTAACATTCCTTTGTTTTTCTTACACTCTAATTACATGTTTGCATTTATCATCTTCGCTCTAATTACATGTTTTTAATTTAACATTTGAACAAATATGATGCACAATAAGAAATATGTTGGCAATACAGTCTTACAGGAAATTAATTTCAGAATGTAATGTCTCACTATTCCTTAGGTGATTAGTTTTGTTTTCCTTGTAGTCTCTTCTGCTTTTGGGTTAATGTTTCATGTTGTGTATAGGTAATTTTGTCACTAGTACTGCAGTTCTTCCTTCCAAACAATTGCTACTTCTTTGTGTTATAGTCCTTTTTGGATTAGTAGAAAGCACGGGCATTTTGTCAAAATGAATTTCTGAATCTCCTATGTGTGACATGTACCAGACAGAAAAATATGTGAACAACAATTTGCCTGAAGCCTGTCAATGAAACTGTAATATTCTTTTGAGGGGTTTTGTTTGATGCCTCGGGATTAATAGTTGAAGCAGAGTTGTTAGGTGTCCGATGATAATCACCATACTGCCAATGCAAGTCATGAAGATAATTTATGTTAATTATTAGTCGAGATTTTGTTCCCCACCTGCTGTTTAGAGTTTAATCCAAGTGTCCACAGTTGTCACGCACATGTTCCACTCTTCGTCTTTGTACTGTATATTGCTTCTTTGGTTTTAAGTAATGTTGCATATTAACAAGCAGGCCGTTCATATGGATTCACAACTTGGAAGTCAATCAAGTTCAAAGAAAAATATTGTATGGACAGAGAAGATGGATATTTGCTTAACTGAAACATTGAGAGAACAAGTGCACAAAGGGCAAAAGCCCGATCGAAGTTTCTCATATCATGCTTATCAAGCAACATGTGCAGAGTTATATGCTAAATGTGGAATAAAGGTTGAAGTGGATCATATTAAAAACCGATTGAAGACACTTAAAAAAGATATGGGCGCATTTCAAGACATGCAGAATTCTTCTAGTGGATTTGCATTTAATCGAGTGACAAGGATGATGGATGCGGAGCCAAAAGTTTGGGAAGATTACATAAAGGTATGTTGAATAATTAGTCATTTATTATTTTTATCTAAATTGTACTCTGGTCATGTTTCTGCAATAGGCCAATGTCTGCTCCGGTTTAGAACAATGGTAGCATATATGTACGATAGTTCTTCTGCTTGAATTACTTTCAGTTTGCTGAAATTATTGCAAGTGAAATTGGACTGAGTTGCGTATGAACGCTTTTTCAAATAGGCAGCAAGCATAAGCTGATGTTTATTTGCTCGTAAATTCAGGTTCACTTTTGCTTAAATTCTTTCAAGCAGAGTATTAGGAGGTAATTTAATTTAATTTACACTCTAATTACATGTTTTCATTTTACCACTTAGTTCATAAGTTTAAGGTATAATGACAAAACTGATAAAAACTTATTGGTTTTTATCCATGTTTGCTGAACTCAAAACATTTCTGTTTCCAACAATACCTTCTACAAATTTACCAAAAGGCTTAGTTTTCATGTGTAGTAAACATATTTTTCCGTAGCTGTGCATATAATTGCCAGATTCAGGTCTCATATATACTCATCAACTACTGCTTAGTGTACTGATAAGGTAATAACTGGCAGAGTGCAGCCACTGAAATTTAACCGAACTCCTCTCCAGCTTCTCCTTTGTCTAGGCTTGGATATGCTAATTAACATAGTGCATGGAAAAAGGTACAGCCATCCCTTTTGCTTCATCAATCAGGCTGGAAAATGGTACAATTCTCTCATCATTCGTGTCTTGAAGCCATGTGAAGCTCCAGACACAAATCAGAGCCTGCTCATTACTCTACCCTCCAAAAGACATCTTTTGCTTTCTTCACATAACCCTATTTGTGATGTGATTTCTCTCTTTGTGAAGCTTTATGATTCCAACTGAAAAAATGACTGGGATTATCGATGTTGGGTACACCGTGCTTGAAATTAATCTTTGATCCAGGTGAATTCTGAAGTCTTGCATCAACTTCATTTCGCAATTCGGATTTTCAAACCTGTTAGCAAGTAATCTTGCTGCCCACATTGTCCCATGTATCGCATATATCTCCCATGTATCTCCCATGTATCGCATGTATATTCATGAATATGTCGTCGCGAATGTATGTATCACTGTCATGTGATGGTTTTTCCTTGGAAGGGTTTTATCACTGTCATTTTTCTTCTTTTGGTTTAGCTAACATATAGTAGTTATATTCTGCATATGCTTTTAATTTTATAGGTTTTTGATGTTTATATTCTACTTATTTGAAATTTTTTGAATTAATTTCAGGGGATGAAGGATGCGAGATTAATGTTTTGATGGGCTCACTAGAGTCAAAAACCAAGGACTTCGGCATATTTTTCTCTCTCTTTGGTTAAGATTCTCTATATATGAAATTGATTGTAATAGATTTTGTTGGTTAAGATTTTTTATATGAAATTGATTGTAATAGACTTTGTGACTAGAAATGGATTATACTTTATATTAGGAATATCATGACATTTACTTTTGATTTGTTTTGGTTCTTTCATTGACCTTTCTTTCTGCAAATATTATGTGTGAGAAATGTTGTTCTTTAATTAGCGGAATTGTGGTTGTGCTTCTGCTTGTTAATATTTACAAACTCGATGTTGATAGCCACTCAAGTTTTTGTATTAGGAAATTGCTAATTTTTTTAAATCCAAAAAGTATGAATTAAAATTATGTTGTGATAATTTTCTTTCTCTTTTCCTCAAAAAGACAACCAAACAAGAGAAAATGACTTTCTTATGAATTTTCTTCTAACTTTCCTTACAATATTCTTTCTAACCAAACAATAAAAAGAATATCATTTTCTTTTCTTTTTCTTTTCCTTTCTTTTTACTTTCTCTTTCCTTTTCTTTTCTCTCCCTTTCTCTCAAACCAAACATAGCCAAAGGATATGCAACAAATCACTTATTTTCGATGCAATCAAATCAAAATAATGTGCATGCTACAATCATTGACGACGTCTTATAGTCGCTTCATGGGAAAAATTGGACGTTCATGAAAGTTCTGCAGGGGCTTTCATCGCAAGCCCTGAACTCCCGGGGGTTTTGTGAATTTTACCCTTTAAATTACTGTTCAATACACTAATAACAGGTAAACGCATTTGATTTTTCGGGGTTTTTTTTTTTTTTTTTTGGGGGGGGGGGGGTAGGTGGTGTTGGTGGTGGGGCGCATGACTTAAATATGTTTTCTTTTCCGATGTAAAATAAAAGCTTCGGTCGTGTGGACCACTAATCGGATTTATAGTTGTCTATCCATCTTTAATTCATTAGTTTATAATTTATTCACCAAATTCGCGGGGAACATTAACGGGTAGTGGTATCACCAATAGATTATTGGGGGAAAAATTCCCCAAGGACCGAAAATATGGGATCAATAGAGGGGATAAGTGAAGTGTCCCCCTCCTATTGGATAATGAATTGGTCATCATTAATTATGGCCAACTCATTATCCAATAGGAGGCAGACACCTCACTTGTCCCCCCTATTGGTCCCATATTTTGGGTCCCTATAGCAAAGCTCTTATTGGGGCCAAAAACTCATAAACTACTGTAGATCCTAGAGTAAGATAACTAAAAATTAGAAAGTTAATATAGTATGCGCGTAAAAATAGTACTCCGCCTTCCACTTTTAAGCTTTTATATCAAAATAACGGTGACTCGAGCTCAAAGATAATTAGAGGAAAATTTGATTATAGTTTGATAAAGTCAACTCTCATGCTTATCATGAGCAACATAAAATCCCATTTCCCCTGCAAGAAAGTATAAATCAACGCACAATTTGTGCTGTTGTCATGTCCGTCACATAATAATACAAACCTTGTTAGCCAAAATCCACCCTGGAAATTGATCCCTTTTGTTTAGGCTTCTTTTGGTACTCGTCCCTTACTCCTCAACATTTTGAAATTAGTCCCTAAACTATTAAAATTGCTATTGGGTCCCTCGATTCTTATCTCTCGCTTAAAGGAGCTGATTTGCAATAACTCGTAAGAAGTGAGGACCTAACAGCAACTCGCGGGTTCGAGGGACTACTTCCGAGACAAGTAAGAATTTGAGGACTTAGCAGTAAATTTAATGATTCAGGTCTAAGTACAAAACGCGAAAGATCCGACGGGCTGAATACATACAAAATATTAAAGATGCGATCGACTAACGTTGAGAAAAGCCCATTTATTATACAAGCATGATTCACTCTGTCAGTGGGCCCCAACATAGCCCTGCAGCCCCTTCGCTGGTTTTCTTCAAGAATTTTCGTAGGGTTTCGTTTCTCTCTGTAAAATCATTTCCTCCCTCTCTCTCTCCCTCCCCCTCCTCTCGCTGATCAAAACTCCAACTGATTCTATGTCATGTTGCAGTAATCTGCAACTAACCGAATTCACCCTTTGACCCGATCCTAGCTCCCCTCGCCCCTCCTCCCAAAAAGCTAGGGTTTTGCTGACCCCATCCCCTCTCTCTATATCATGCTTCCTAGGGTTTTCTCTCTCTCCCCCAATCCCACCTAATTCCCTTCAACCCTCCCTCAATTTCGCTCCTTTCTCTCTCTCGCAAGTTCGATCCTTTTTCATGGCGTATCATCATCCGTTCCCTGGTCCTGGCTCTGGATCCGGGTCAAGCTCCAGCTCCGGCCTCCATTTCTTGAGTTCCCCTTTTGGGGACACCACTTTCACCAAGGTCTTTGTTGGGGGATTGGCTTGGGAGACGCAGAGTGAAACCCTAAGGCGGCACTTTGAGCAGTATGGGGAAATCCTCGAGGCCGTTGTCATCTCTGATAAGAATACCGGAAGATCCAAGGGCTACGGTTTTGTGAGTGTTTCTTCATCTGGGCCTTTTTTTTCCTTCTTAATTCCTGATTTTTTCGTAGAAATGCTGCAAAGCTTGTACCTTTGTGTGTTTTGGTTGTGTAAATCATTTTGCGTCTTTGAGTTATTAGAGGAGTTGAGAAATTTAGGGTTTTCTTATTGAGAACGGATGAAGGCTGAATGTTGGTTTTTGGTGACGGTGTTGGGTGGAGAGTTTAGGTGACATTTCGTGACCCAGAGTCGGCGAGGAGGGCGTGTGTTGATCCTAGCCCGATTATAGATGGGAGACGGGCGAACTGTAATTTGGCTTCCTTGGGCCGGCCAAAACCAGCAACACCTTATGGTATGTTGAATGTTCTACTTGTCTTAGTTTTGAGAGTGAATACCGTGATACATGCATTGCATTGTTATAATTGTCCTTGAGCCGCTGTAGTATTGAGATCATTATATCCGTATTTCATGTCTTATTGCATCGTGTGATCAAGTGCTTGACATGTGCATTATATTTTCAAACGTGATGTTGCTAATTTTCTGTCACCTATATGTTTTTGACAACTGTTTTAGATTATTCAACTTAAATTAATGAAGGAGTGAGCTGGACAATGACTTTTTCTTTATCAAACATGATGATGCTATATTTTCTTTTGCCTGTATGGCATTGACAACTGTTGTAGTCTGTGCCACTTATTTAATGGACTAATGGAGTGAGCTGGATCAAGATTAATGTGTATACTGATATTCTGAGTTATATGCAAGTGATTTAATGCACATACTGATATTCGAGTTATATATACATGATACAGGGTGAATAGCCAACATCTATCTTGAAGCCGTGTTTTGGTGATGTGCCTTCAATAGAATAGTTTTGCAATATAAAAACTTTAATCACTGAAAATCTGATATTTCAAATGTGCATGGGATCTACTACTAGTGAAGAACCTTATATTATATAGTTGTTTTTAGTGGCATTGCTCCTTCGTACTTATGTGTGTCTTCTATTGGTTAACAGAAAGCATCAGAGTTACACTGTGTTGGTGCATTATATGATGGGAGGTGAACCATCTAATGTTCTCCTGGCGTCTTCTCTTTTTATGAAAATTTTCATTGGGTGGGGTTGCATTATTATAGTCAATTCCTTATGAAAACATAAGGTTTTGAATATCAGATTCTGTCGGAGTGACTTTAGTTTCATAATTAGGATAAGGAAAGACTGGAAAATAGAAAGGAAAACCCGATATATGTCATTCCATTAGTTAAGACCTGAAATAGTGCAAACACAACCAACCTCAATGAATGACCACTTGGCTAGGGGGAAAAGAGATTCCAGATAAGTTGTTAGCATTGCATTGGGAGGAGACATTGCATGGTCTCCTTTAGATCTAATCAGAGTTATTCTATTTACCCAAAAACTCTTTGCTTGGGATCATATATAGGTGCTTTTTGCTGCTGGCCAATCATGGAGAAAAACTTTGTTTGAGATGTCTGGTTGCGTCCATGTAAATTTCAGCAGAAATTAATAAATAAGGATGCAAACTGAAATATCATCATCTATGATTATGGTGGGTTTCCTCTCGATCAAGAATCAAGTCAATTGAGACATATATAGGAAGAAAAGCAGCTACAATAACAATGTTTTAATTGATACATTAGTTAAAATAATTATAGCCATCATCATTGTTGATTATTTTGTACGAATAATGTCAAATCGTATCTTTATTTTGAGTAACTATATATCCCTTTTTTGGTTACTTGTAGAAGCTTCATGGTATCATCAGGAGTAATTTTTATAGATTTTTTTCTTCTATCAGAAAGGTACTCTGATTTTTAGAGTATTAGAATACTGATTAATGTTCTCATCTTGTGTCTTAAAAACATCAAGATCCTCCTGTCCATCCAGTCCTTTGGTAATACAGCTTTAATTAGAGGAATTTATCAACATGTTATGTTGTCATTTAATTATTGATGAAGGGCTTACTTGATGAAGGGCTTACTTTTATTTGACATTTACAATTTGCGTACAGTTAATCGGACATATGGGACTTTGTTCTGAATAGATAATTGAATAGCTTCTTTGTGATATTTAACATTTTCATAAGCGTATACTGTATATACAAGATTTTTTTTTGCAGATTTATGTAATTGTTGTTCCTTTGTTGGGACTTGCATTTTGCAGCGCAGCTAAGGCCTACTGGCCCGTACTTTGGAAGTGTTCCTGTTCCTCGAGGGGCTTATGTTGGAAGTTCCACATTCCACCAAGCTGTTCCCTACGGCTACCACCAAGCTATTCCATATGCACCATATGGGTAAGCAGATTATTAGTACTTACCTATTGAGGATGTGACTGAAAGTCCAGCTCATTCTGTGTTAATAGAAAATATTAACTTTATTGGGAGTTTTTAAATAATAGTACGACTTGATTTTGTGTGGAGCTTTTGATTAATGAGTCACAAATTCCGCAAGATTTATGAGCTGAATAGCGTTATGAGTTATAAAACTTGTATATGCTTCATATGAGGTGAGGTAGATGGCTAGGGATTGAAGGGAATGTAGGCATAAAGCTATCATCTAGATTCTTCTGTCCGTCACTAAATCAGCAGCTGAAGATGAGAGTTCTCATAGGATTTTCTGATTGCTTATGCAGGTACCAGGCCTATGGATCTGAATATGTTTACCCACAGGTCATGAAGTTCAAAATCTAGCTTTTATTTTGAACTCTAAATATCCATAATTTGCCTTTTATATTCAATTTATACTCACATAATTTGGCTATGCTTTTTTTCAGAATGTGTACAATCCATACATGGGGCAGCATTATGTTCAAGTCTACGGTGTTCCAGGAACAGTGAATGCAGCTGCATATCCATACGGACAACTTGCGCAGCAACTTCCTGCTGGGCATGGTTATACTGCGGTCCAAGGTTACACCGTTCCTGGCCATCACTTCATGCAGCTTGGAGGTCAGAACATCAATGGAGTAACAGCTTCACCTAGGCCTGCAATACAGGCACAGTATCCTTCAGGCAAGTTTTCTGAGAGGAACTTATATTTCTCAATATCAGCATTACAATCTGGTTGCCAAAATGTCTTGAATGTTAAAAGATTGTTTCTTAATGTTGACATGCACATAAAGATTCAATTCATATGTGTCTATCCTATAGATAATTAGAAGCAAGAAAGTAGGTGATGATGAGGATGATATTATGTGATTGCTTTTGTTCTATTTCCCATTTTTGGTTCATCTTTCTGGGCAATGGCATGGAAGGAAATCTTTTTATGCCCCTTGTAACCAACAAATATGTGCCACTATATTTCTCCACAATAACATTTCAAAGTAATAAATTAGTGATCTTTTAGAGCTATAAGAAAAATAAATTGAATATTTAACATTCTAAGTTAAAGATCTTCCTTCGACTCGATTATCAGAAGTTCAAAGTTAAGATGATTGAAAAATCTATAAAATATCTCCTGAATAATATACTTCAACATTCTCGTCTTAGATATGGGGAAAATATAGAACTTAATAATATACTTCATCTTTCTCATCCTAATATAGAACTCAATTAAAGTTCAAAGTTCTGATAATTGGGAAATCTATATAATACCTCCTGAATAATATACTTCGTCTTTCTCATCTTAGATATGGGGCAAATATAGAACTTAATAAGAGGAAGTAAATTAAAATAACATAAAGCTAACAGGTTAACTGGAGTAGGCACTTTGTACTTTTAATTACCAACCAGAAAAAGGAAATTCAGAAGACATAAGTCAATGCTTCAATTAAACGCCTTGGGGTTAGTCTTGGAAGTAAGTCTCTATTTTGACGTTTTGCTTCTCATCCATACAAATTCTTGACACCACAAAATGATTTAGGACAAAAATAAAAAAGAAAGTCAACTGCTTAGAAAGTCTTGATCCTGTTAAGCTTGCCTCCAGGTCTGAGTGTACTCAGATGCGGTAGAGAGCCTGTCTTTGTTGGATTTCAATATGCCTTGGTTGGATCTGCCTAGTTGGTGAAATCGGCTAGGACGGAGTGCCTATTCCCTTTTTATGCTCATTCCCACAGAACACATGTTTTTGGAAGTTAGAAAGTCCATTCCCTTGGTATGCTTATTCCCACATTTTGTGGGCACAAGCATTCCCAAAGAGTTCTTGAGCAATGGGGATTCCTATCTAAGTAAAAATAAATAAATAAAACAAATTTCAAACCTGCGCCAATTTCTTGTCAGTTCCCGCTTTGTTCTCTGTGTCACCTAAACGTGACAATCAGAATGAGTTTTTCACTCTCACATTTATTCCGTTCGGATCCTTCATTCTATTCTCACTTAGCTCGATTCTTGCATGTCGAACAAGGCGCTAGGTTCAGTTGGAATATCCAAAGCAAGAGGTTAAGAGAGATAAGAAGGTGAGACTAGGTAAGAAGGTAAATAGGGACTTTGTGGACTGAACATCTCCACCTCTCAGGAAGGTATATGGTGAACATGTAATAAGTCTGCCAAAGTAAAGAGATGAAAACTAAGACACATGATTTCTATAGGGAAAGGGATCTTTGAATGCATGATTGTAAAGGAGAGCGGATATCTTTTGGACTTGCCATATCATCATATTATGTTTTGGCCAGAGTAGAAAATGTGACTATAAGTCAGCTAACAAAATCGTGAAATTGGCAAAACTTCCAATATAAATAAACTAAGGGGATGTTTGGCAAGTTTTGATTATAGTCTATTTGTGGATTATAAGCCAAAGTGTTTGATAAATTTAGTGGATTATAATCCATGTTCGATTGTAGTGTTTGGCAAATGGATGGCTTATAAGCCATCGTTGTTGTCAAAATGACCGAAAAATATTTTATGGGGTTAGAAAGAGACAAAATAGGACTTGGAATTTTGAGAAATGGTGAGGGTTATGTTAGTCTTTTACTTGATCAAACATTGTGGCTTATAACACATCAAAAAAAATGAGCTAGGTTACCCTAGCTTATTTTATTTTTTGGTGGCTTATGAGCCAATATAATCCTTGTGACAAACATGTCAAGTCTCAAGTGGCTTATATGCATCAAAAGTGGCTTATAACCACTTTGACCGCTTACCAAACATGCTCTAATATAATCCTATAAAGAACTATAAATCAACTAATATAATCCTATACAAAAATTATTAGTAATCAATAACAAAGTCATGTCAGTACCCAACCCCAATATTAAGATTCACGTGTCCTACATGTTTGTTTAGTGGTTAAAGGGTTGGGTGTAAATATTTTCAAACTATTGCCTGGAGGGGAGAGTTATTTTAAAAATTTTTTGGGGGGGGGTGTTTTTTTTTTTTTTTTTTTTTTTTTTTGGGGGGGGGGTGTTATAAGATTAGAGGGCTATAAAATGTAATTCTTCAAATTCTTAGAAGTGCACGTCCCTTAAGTTTGAAAATGGATCTGCCCGTTTGATGCGAAACCCCACCTCCACCCAAAAAAAAACCTGTGGTCCCAATCTTTCTCTCTCACACATATTTCTATATTAATTTACACAAACTTTTGGATATGTGTGCAGTTAAATGTGTTTCTAATCTATTTCAGTTTTATACACATCAAAAAAGAGGTTATGAAGTGTTAATAGATGGTTAAAACTTATGACGTGTCATTAACCAGTATGTGTTGTACAACTTGCACTCATTTTAAAAAAATGCTTTGACTTGCTTCATATTGTAAATCTTTTCAGTTCACAAGATTAGTGTACGTAAAAATTTATTATGTGATCATTTTGGTAGTTGCTGAACATATATATTTTTTTTCCAAAATGATCCCACAACAGAATTAGCCATCTCCGCTAGAAGAAATGAAATAATTTATTATCCCATCACCTGTCATGCGCTGATACTTGAAATCCTTGTTTGTGTAGGATAAGTATCTTGCCAGTTCATTGTATCCTTCAAATATTTATCACTTGGTGATTATGGTGGATATTGCAGGGCTTGCAGCAGCAATTCCAGCTCATCCACAGTTCATCATTCCTGCACATTCGCCACAGTTCACACATGGCAGTGGTTCAGACCAAACAGTTGGTTGAGAGGAGCATCACAGTGTAAAGCATCTTGAGGTATACAAATTTGGGCTAAATGGCACTTAAATACCACAAAGTTTCCCCGTTTTGACACTTATATACCATGAGTTGTTTTTTGTGGCAAATAATCATAAATTGCTTAAAAAAGCCACATCAGTATCCTCGATCATGCAAACATGAAGAGAAAAAAAAGCTCTTCTGAATGTTCCCATATGACACTAACATGTTAATTTTATAACTGTCTAATCATTAATATTTGTTAAATTTATCATTAAACATATTCCAACTCTATTTTACAATAGAAATAAGATGAACTTTTAAAAGAATTTTGGTAGATTTAATAGCAAATTAAAAAAATATTAATAGTTAAAAACTTTAAAATTAGCATACAAGTAATACTGAGAAACATTAGGGTGAAAATTTTGTTTGCATGATTGAGGGAACTAGCATGCCAATTTTAAACAACTTATGATATTCATTTGCCAAAAAAGAAAGAAAGAAAGAAAGTCATGGTATATAAGTGCCAAAACAGGAGAACTTTGTGGTACCTAGGTGCCATTTAGTCATAAATTTGGCTACTTACCATGATTCTTCTTCTTTCTGTTATCATCTTGTTTTTTTTCTTTATTTAATTTTAGTAGCTATCCTTAGATTGCAGCAGGACAAGAACAGCAGTGCTGCTTGAGTGGCATGCTTATCTTTTGCCTTGCAAGCTATCATCTTTGCATTCTAAAGGTCAGTTGGACCTCCATCTTATTATGCTTCCCATAACATTGTTTTCCTATGTCCTTTTGAAATGTTGCATGGTTATTTGACCTATATGGCTTGAGCTTTTCCTTCGCTTTTTGTGTTTTGGAAGTTTGGACTTGCAAGATTTTGAAAAAAATGCATTTGTCACCAGATACAGAAGCTATATAAGAGTCCTAAGAGACCATATGTTCTGGACGAGGGGCTGAAATTTAAATGCCAAGTTGCTAACCGTGCTGATTTGCCAGCTAAGTAGGCTGGATACTTGACCTAGTGGGCTAGCCGAGTTACTTCTGCACGTTTTCTATTATGATATGAATTTCTTCTGGCACTTTTTTATAGATAGTTTTCCTCATTTTCCTACCCAAGTTTAAACTTGGGTTCAATTTAAAAATATGAAAGTTGAACTTATATTACCACATAGGTTTTAAGCAAAGTTGCATGTAAACCGCATTTATACTTTCACTTTTGAAGAAGAGTTTCTTGGTCACTAAATGGTGGTAATTATCTGTAAGAGGATTAAAAAATTGAATTCATAAGTAAAATGTGAGTACATGTTTTAATAACAAGTTGATGAGGTACTATAATATGAGTTCATAAATAGGAAAGTTTATGATAGTTGTAAATCGTTTGTGTATGTGGTTGTTTCTTATACCGGACGGGTGAAAATTCAGGGTAGTTCAGAACAATTCAACTAAAATTTTTTTAAAAAAAATTCTATCTACTTTCTCCTCTTCAATTGCTTTCTATTTATGAGAAAACCACAGGTGAAGCTTCAACTTTGCCTCACTCTTTGTTGCAGGTCTTCTGTAGTCATGGTCACCAGAGATACCACAAAGAGTCAGCGTCGAGTCTCGCTCCTGTGGATGGAGCCCCTCCTATGAAGCTTGAGAGCTCCTGAAACCGCTCTCGTTTCTTGCTTCTGCTGTCAAAAGTGTCTGTAAAAATCCTCATGCCCTGCTGGAGATTGCAATTGGCCCGGTGGAGTATGAACTGATGGTGGTGCCGGAAATGGAGTCCGGCAACACCACCTTTATATATAATACATATATGCAAAAAAAAAAAAAGAACAGATGTAAATATACCCTATATCTGAAACGATTCTTTCAGAGCCAGAACTCAAACTTCTGGTTGTATTATAGGGTAAGCCCCTTTGTTCATGTGGTTCCTGGGATGATTTGGCCACTGGCCTTGTAGATACAACATTTATGCGATTCCCGATCAAATCTTGTTGATATGTACGTTGTTAGTTTCTAGCCTCTCTAAACTGATGGGTATCAGTTTGGATCGGTGTAAGTAAGTGACTGCAGAACGTCCTGCAAGGTAACAGGTCTACTTTGTCACCTTATCCACCATTAGATATTGTAGTTCAATCCCTAGTTTAAAGCTTTGTGAATGGTCTGTATGTAGTAATCGATGTTTATTTGTGTAAAATGTTTGGATGTTGAGTTGGTCATTGGTATGTTGCATTTGGTTCTATCAGATCTACCATTTCTTCCCTCTTTTGTTCCCTAATTAAAGTATCTTCACCATTTCTTCCCTCTTTTGTTCCCTAATTAAAGTATCTTCGCATTTTAGGAAGGTGGTTCGTGTTTTATGACGAAGGCTGCAGTCTTTAGGCAGCATTTGTAGATTACAGCTTATGATTTTTGACTCTAAGCTACTGGCATTACTGAGGAAAGGTTGATGTTTATTATTTGCTGGTAGTCCGATTCAATTTTGTCTTTTGTTACAAATAATCTTAGTAACATCAAGAGTAACTTTTACCTTTTTTGCTCCAAATGAAACGTTGGTTGTTGGGTGCGATGAGCGTCAATAGCCGCAGTATGGTCCTCATGTTAGCCACTCCAGTTGTCAGAAATCAACCAAACATTTGTAAATTCTAATACTACAAAATGTTGCTTCCAAAAGAAACTTGAAAGATAAGCATAAATAGCATGTAATAAGATACAGAAAAGGTAGTGAATTTACAAAATAACTTCTTGTAAGCCACATGTTATCTTATAGCTAAATTATACGAGACTTTTCGAAGCCAAAGTGGCACAACATCTATATTCCCTGCACACAAAAAAGTATGATGGATTTCATCACATGCTAAAAAGGACTTTTTCCCCCTATATAAAAAGCATACAGAAATCACTCCCTTCACTATACCATTCACGCAGAACGGCTCCATATAGGTCCAGCTCCTCACCATTCAAGTAACTTATCATCTTTCATCTTCTAATTTGACGGGTTTGATTCCAGATCAAATTATGCACCTGCGATCCAATAAGATTACTTTTACCTCCTCTACTTTGATATATGCAGACAACAGGTATACATCCGCTAAACAGCAGTTATTAAGTCGAAAAGGCCTTTACGCCTAGCGAAGTCTGTTGTCAATAGCAGGCTTCCATGAAAAATTAAGTTGCAGACCAGGCCATGTGCGCTTTTTGTCAACTATTGATGTGTGATGGGGCTAGCAGAATGCAATAACCTTGATGTTCCGTTACTTGTGGAGAGAGCAACTAGTTCGAGCACCCAAACTGCAATCTTCAAATGCGAGACAAAAAATCTTCCTCCCCAAAATATGGTGAATAACCAACCTCTTATCTATTACAACCGGCCAATTCTGCAGGAACCCAGCACACGGTTTAAAAATTTTACAAGACCAGATCTTGGAAACATGTAGATAATGTTTACATTGACGCTCCCATTATTCCTTCGAACCTGTAGCTCTGGAATTCCTTCAATGAACCTCTTTATGTCCTCAACAGCAAGCAATGGAGTGACAAGTACTTCAATAACGAGTTGATGATGATCACTGAGAACTGTTATTAGTGGATGAATGACGAATATGTATAACGAAAAAAATTAATCACAAAGTTAATATTATAGGACCTATTGATGACTGGAAGATATCATACAGCATTGGCTGCACTTCTCGGCTGTTGTGTTCACATTGAACAAGATTAACTAACAATGGGAAAAATCTAGGCAAGTTTCTCCTGAATGATTTTCTCTCCAAGCTCATGAACACCTTCAAAGTTAGCACAAGGATAGGAGTCCGTGCTGCCAATTCCTCTTTCTTGGCTGATGGCAGGGGAAGTAACCAATGCATGTTTGAGTTGTTGCTTGGAGATGGCTGCTTTTGTTGGTGTCCTGCACATTTCAAGTATATCTGTAGGGATTCCACACACGCTGAAACCAGTTTGGATTCTATACTCATCTCTTCTGAAAGAGAGGAGTTATTACAAAGTAAAGTATTCAAAAGCTTGAGGTAGTTCTGATAAGATTCATTCTCAAAGTGAACTACTGGAGGGTAAGATATATCCAATAATGAACAAGCTCTCTCCAGCTTCTGTTTTAAGTCGGTTTCAGAATTCATTTCACTTGCATGTGATGCAATGGATGAAAGGATCTCCAGAATAATGCTCATATTATCTGCTGAGAAGGAGTTATGATGCATCTCATACAACTTCATGACAGCCTGCTCAACAGGAATCCAAAAAGTGTCAGGAACTAATCAAGATATCTGAAACACATAATATATATAATTTTACTAGTCCAAGATAATTGTGGCACATACAGTGATCAAAGTAACTGTGTTAATATCTGTGAGATAACAGGATGAATCCTTGATGTATTTTAAATCCTGTCCATTTGTCTTGCCTCTTTTACTCATAGAAGATATGAAAAAAAAGAATTATTCATAAACAATTGTTACAAGATTAGAAATCCTGCTTCATTTGATGAACATGGACCTCAAGAGTTCCATTCTCACAAGCAAAATTTATATTCATTTCAGATGCTAGGAGAAGGAAAAAGGCAGGAAAAGATAATCCTGAAGGCTCAAGTAACAATGTGCTAATCTTTGATTAAAAAGGTTACTGAAACTGCATTGTTCAAGAGTTGGCTTGTACATCTCGTTTCATGTTCAATTTGATTACAAATAATGCGGAAAGTTAGAAAATATGGAAGGAAAAAAAAATGTGAGCAACATGTCATTTCCTTCGAAACACAGGCTGAAATGAAATATCTAGTAGGCGTTTCATCAGTTGTGCAGAAAAGGTGCTCTAAATTATGCAGGGTGGTGTATTTGGATTCTGGGGCTGGTAATGAACTTGTAGGCCAGCTACCTGCGTCAACTATGAAGCATATCTTTTATGAGGAAAACCTACTTGTGAACTAGTGTTCCAACACTACAAAAAACAAACAGGAGAAACACGTTTTTCTTTTAAGATATCGTATATGGACCCCCACATTTAAGGAGTTAAAACTTTTGTTCAGTAATGTTCATTATGAAAAGGACAATCCTCTAGAAAGTGTGCAATCTCCAGGAATCATGACAATGTGCAATAATAAACTGAGCATTATCCCATCAAAATGGGATAATTATGAAGAGTGACACAACAAGAAGAAGACTGGATTCATGTTCTCTCTCAACAAAGGAAACTATGAGCAATAAAAGGGGGTTGCCAAACATACAATAGGTCTAACAGATAGGAGAAATGTTGATCAGGTATGTTTTGATGATACAAATATACTGTGTGTTTGGCTAACTTGGTTATTGCAGTATCAAAAGATATATTCTGCTACATCATTCAAGTTGATCAAGGATGAAGAGAAATCAAGATAAAGTTGGACTTCATATTGTAACTTTTACTTTATCTTAGATTGTTAAAGCCTTGATGCACACACACACAACAGAAAAAGTAACAGGTTTCGGTGATACATTAACTTTGAAATTCTCTATAAAATCATAAGAGCATTGGATTGGGATGATTTTGGATTCATCACGTAGATATTTGAAATACGCATCTAACGTATCCAAAATCACTCAATTTGGATGTCGTAGTAAGAAGTTATGTCCATTTTAGTATGTGTTGCTGATTTTGCTTTTCTGGTCAGTCGACCGGGATCACTATAGCAGTCGACCAATTAACATATTTGTCAATTTTAGTGTATGTTGTTGTTTTTGCTTTTCTGATCAGTCGACTGGTCACTGTAGCAGTTGACTGATTAGCCTGTTTGCTCAAAATTTAAATCTCTCTAGCCACTCGACTTATCCACACTTTAGTCGACTTATAATAGCAGTTTTTGACTGTTAAGTGTTTGAATTTGGATCAGTTTTTTACTGTTATATTTTGGTTTTCAAATTTATTTTCAAACCCTTTAGGCCAACCTAAGATTTCTATAAATAGGCATGCCTTTCTCATTTGAAAAGATGATGAACAAAATTCATTATGCTTTGACTTTTGAAAATCTTGGAAATTCTGAAAAACTCTCTTTATAGCCTTATTGTCCAAAATTTAGTGAGGCAAAATATTGAGAATTCCTATTAGCCACAGATCAATTAAGATCACTACACATCAAGGCTTATAGGATTGTTATAATCTTCATCAATAAACCACAGATCAATTAAGATCACTACACATCAAGGCTTATAGGATTGTTATAATCTTCATCAAGAAAAGTTATCTCTGATTTGAGGGAAGAAATGTTCTCTCTGGTTTGAGGGAATGAATGTCTTTCTCTGATTTGAGAAAGGGTGTGCAAATTGACAAGGGGATTGTCAAGTTTGTGCAATGATTATTCTTGTAAGGTAATTCAAGAATAGTGAAAAATCTCAAGCGGGTTGTTTGGGGACTGGATGTAGGTCTAGAGGACCGAACCAGGATTTTTGCGATTGTGTTCTTCCCTGGTTTGATTTACTCTTAACTCTTTTTTGGTTATTGATTATTGATTTAATTTTTTATTCCAGTGCTAATTTATTTATAATTTCGCAAGAATTTTCTTAAACACTATTCACCCTTCTTTCTAGTGTTAGCATTGCATACAGGATCTAACAAAGGAAACTATGAGCAATAAAGGGGGTTGCCAAACATACAATAGGTCTAACAGATAGGAGAAAATGACTTATGATTATATAGCTTAAAGTTATGAAGCAAAGTAGAACTTAGAGATAAAGAAAGAAAACTTCTGCTTGTACAAGCTGCCGTAACTTGTAAGGACTAATTCTACTATAGACAGGAAGCTCGACAGCAAGTCGGAATACCTTTACAATTAGGAGCTGGACAGCTATGTGACCCGTCATTCTGACAACAGCATAAGTTGCTGCCTCCATATTGGCATCCTCTTCATCATCATTAATGAGCTCATGATCTGAATATTCATCAGCCTCTGAATAAGCATGAATCCTACTTGGTATCTCAACTTTGTTTGCTACGTCAACAATTCTCGAAAATACAGTAAGTGTCAAGGCAGCAGCTTTTTTAAGGAGAGATAAGACTTCTCTCCATTCTGTTTCCGATAATCTCTTTCCAACATTATCCATCAGATACAATAACCCAGTGACACCAGTGTTAGCAGATTGTTGATAGGGGCTTCTGATGAAACTTGCTAGGATTTCTGCAAAATGTCCAAGTTGAGGGCGCAGCAGATCGAAAAATTTTAGAAATAAATCTGCTAACAATTGTGCTGCCATTATATCGGTTTCATAATTCCTA